TTAACGACGGCATTGGATGGATGTCGAGCAAATTGTTTTACTTGAAACAATCTAAATGAAGAATACTTCTTCTCCTTAGTACCTTATTTTCTACTGACCTAAAGAAATATTAAAATGCTTAGTGGATTGTAACTATGAACAACAAGTTATCAAAAAGTTCAGTAACATATTACAGTTATTATTATTATTAGAACACAAATGTCGTTCAGCAAGGACACCAAGAAATGTGTCACAAAATAATATAACAACATGATGAAGACATAAAGCGAAGGGAAGTGGATAAAAATGAAACACAATTAGAATACGATGATAAGAAGGTCAGTTCAGTAAGGTACATTCGAAACGAAACATTCATTACTTTTCAGCAGTAGAAGATAGAAGAAAGCTACAGCATGATCACCACTAGTTTCGGTCCTAAGCCATATCTAATAACGTTTCGAGCCACTAAGTTGTGTAATCTCTCGGATCCCACCCATGGAGTCGTGATGCCAATCCAATACAATTATCCTTCATTCCACTGCGCCACGTCATACACTGACCACCCCTTTGCTTCTTCCATATAGTCCCAGGGTTAGCATACAGTGAACGGCGTGGAAGCCGTTGGGACAACATGAATTTACAATATAAAAAGATTTTGAAGCTATTAACCGACCTTCCTGCGAATACTGAAGGTCTCTGCATCGCGAACTTTTCAACCGACTACAGTAGTAGTGGTCACAAAGGGGTTGATAATGGCTGCAGGACCACTAAAAACCAAGGAACAGTAGGTAGCTGTTTTTTTCCAGCTCTGGGCTCCTCAGTTGTGCACATAATATATATCAAATTCACAGTATAAAAGTGACTGGTAGTAATTCAATAAACTGTTCATTATCATAAATTGATTTGTGAGATTCATATAGGCAACCGCTTCAATCAGCAGCACATTGTTGAAGAAATCAATGAATCTAAATACACCTTTGATAATATAGTTTCCAAATATTTTCTTCAGACGTTTTATAGAATTTGTGAAATCGATGCATATATATATATATATATATATATATATATATATATATATATATATATAAGCATAAATCACGAGTCCATAAAATTCAATCAAATGTTATTCACGCAAATGAGTTGATATGATTACACGCCTCTTATTTTCTACTTGTTCCAACAAGAAAATAAGTCTTATTCTACAGAAACTTTGTACTAGCGGTGTTTGTTATAACAAGATTGAGAAAAAATTACTCTAAAGTTGTTTATCATGCTCTTCTTTAGCCTCTGGGACATAGGGTTAAGTAAAAACTAAATATTCTTCGAAATGATAATAACCAACTGTCATCTAAGACATAGATGTAATTAGCTTCACTCCAACATAAAATCTATTCACGTCAAAATCAGCAATAACTCATCAATACTCGAGTAGAGAAGATGTGCATACACTGGCTGGACCGATGGAAAGACCCTAGAAGATTTGGATTTCGCCAACGATGATGATTTATGTCTACTGTCTAATGTCGCATAAACTCGAAGATCTACAGGCAAAAACCAACAAGTTGACAGAAGAGGTGAGGTAGAGAAGACGGGACTTCAGGTGAACGTAGACATGACAGAGGTGATGAACATACTCAACCAACAACAAGTGGCACGAATCACCATCAATGGGAGAAATCTAAAGGAAGTAGTCTGTTTCACCTACCTAGGCAAGGCAGCATCGTCTCAACTACAGGCGGCGGCACAGATGAGGATGTCAAAGCCAGGATCGGGAAGACAGAGAGACACGCCTTCTTTCATTAATCTGAAATCAGTGTGGAGATCTACTCCACTCTACTCCACTGCACTCAGCATAAGGCGTCAACAACATCCGCATTTTCAACACTAATCTCAGTCAAGTCAGTGCAAGTTAGTGCTTCTATGTGATGGTTGACAGACTTGGCGACGCATTACGAGAAGCATTTCCACCAAATCGCACACATACATCAACAACTGCCGCCAACGCTCACTCCTCACTCGATACTGACACCGAAGATCAGATGGCCAGAATATTAAGAATAAGCAAGAAGGAACTCACTCACTCACTCTGGCTGGCTGGCTGGCAACGAATCAACCAACAACCCACCGCCCAACAAGTGTGCAGAAGAAAGTGGAGATCCAATGGATTGGATTGGATTGAATGGTAAATACACTGAGAAGACGGTTTGGTGACATCACGCAGCAGACCAGGCCAGGCCAGGCCGTCGAGAGGAACTGAAATGTGAAACAACGAGTCTGGTTTCCGAGGCGAGGGTGACATGGAGGAGATGGTGTAAGTAAGAAATGAAGGCTGATGGGTAGTCGTGGAGTCAGGTTGAAAAGACTGCAGAGAAGAGGGTGGAATGGAGGCGTGCTACTGGAGGCCTATTTTCCACTAGGAATGCAAAAGACAAATGAAATAATGTAGTCAAACTAATGATGTTTCCAGATGTACAAAAATGAAGCGCTAAACGACCAAAATTCAAGCTGAATTGAAAAAGCTTAAATTGAAATGATGCATTCAAATTTTCTACACATGACGGGGAAAAATGTGTCCAAATATTTTCAGGCAGCATAACCTGTTAACTGCAATATTCCCCATGGTAATTACGTGTACTATGCTCCATATATCTGGCGTAATAAATGAATGTGGCGTCATCCAGTCACTGACAAAACATTAAATTCCTGATGGTTGAAAGTATGCCTCACTGACGGAAGCTTAGGCTGAAGCCATCCTTTCGATTGACTTCTAGCACCTCAAATTAAAATACACCGTACTGTGATGTCAATTTACTTAGCTTACTAGCTCGACACTGAAAACTTGTTCCAACAACTTTAATCAGTAGTGTTAGGCAGTAGGCAGTGACATAGGCTACCATCCAGTTATAACATTTTATAAAGAGAAAGCACAACAATGGCAGCAAGATAAAATGGATTCATATTTTAATTTCAGTGGTATCACGTCAACTCCTTACAAACTATATTGATTGGTCACGGGAGTGCAACCAATTTCATGTTGTCTAGTCCTGAGTGCAGACCGAATCCTATCGATCATAATTGCAATGTGGCGACCAAGCTAGGAAGCTCAGCATCGCGGTGCACATGAATAGATGTTAGTTGGTTGGAGGCAATCGGCAGGAAGTCCAGGACCTAGGTTTCGTGCTTTTTTGGCAATCGTCATCTATTAATCTGCACCGCGATGTTGAGCTTCCTAGCTTGGTTGCCACATTGCAATTATGATCGATAGGATTCGGTCTGCACTCAGCGCTAGAAAACATGAAATTGGTTGCACTCCCGTGACCAATCAATACATGTAAGCCAGTCCTACAGGAGGTCAGTTGCGGCCCGAATAGCCCAGTGGTAGAGTTGCTGACTACAACACTGGGTGATGCGGGTTAGATTCTCAGGTGGGACGTCAGTTCCGTCAAGGTTGCAGGTACGCCTTGCTGACGAGTGCCAAAAAGCACTAAACCTGCCGGTTGCTTCCAACCAACTAACATCTTTACAAACTAGAATATCAAAATATATAGTTTTACTAAGAACTTACATTAACTCATTGGAAGGGAATGGAATACGCGTCAGTGGTTAACACGGATAAAAATAGTTATAGAGTGAAGAACAATCATAATGACAAATCCAAGGGGGAGAGGGTTAACAAATAATCATAATCGTATACACAAACTAGTGGAAGTTTCGCGAAATAAAATAAAGACAAGAGTACCAACCAAAATTTTGAGGGACCTAACAGTATACGATTACTTTAAGTGTAAAACTTGGGCACTGTAGTAGAATTTAATCCCGTATTAGATTGTAACACACAGTGAAACAGTATTATTTACTCGATGACGTTTCAAGTATAAATTATCGTTGCTCATAACTATATCAATGTAATCATACCACACTCGATATCTCCTTTTTATGGCCCTGTCACCTCTTATTCTTTGTTTTTATTAGTAGTAAAGTTTTCCATATCTCTTTAGGTGTTGCATCATTCCTATTAGTTAGATGTGTTGCGTGTTGATTCGATTCAGTAATCAGCAATCTCTCCATCTAATTATATTGAACTTAAGTATAGTGGTTTTATCCCACTCACCCTATTGTGTGTTAATCCATGCATTGCAATAGCCGAAGGTGTTTATTCTAGATTATTGATCTTATTCAGGTCTGTCATTCTATATTTAGCTGAGTTCTTATGTTCCGCTAATCTAACTGACCCCGAACAGCTAGTTTGACTTATGTACTTGACCTCACAGACATTACATGGGATTTGATAGGTTAGATTGCTTATTTGGTTCTATCCGACCCTTAAGCCAGCTGACAAAGCTTATCTCTGAGTGAGTTGATAGGTTTAAATGCCACCCTGATTCCAGCTTTGTTGAGGATCCTACGTAAAGTTTCTGATGTACCCTCCCTATAGGGTAACACAATGGAGGCTGTGAACTTTCTACTTGTGTTGTCGCTATTATAATAGTAAATAATTATCTTCTACAGCTTATTAAAAAATTCGTACGAACATACAAGAAACGAAATAATAACAGTAACATGAGTACGAATAATAACGACAACACGAGTAGAAAGGAGTTCGCAGTCTCCACCTTATAAAGAAGTTACATCAGAAACTTTAAGTAGGACACAAGTCAGGTTTGAGGCGTGTAAGGGCTTAAGGAGAATTGAACTTGGTTGTTTGTTTAGTATCTTAAAGACGTCTATTTGATGTCCACTGTCACCTAGATGCCGAGTGATTACACTGTTCACAATGTTCCTTCTTCTCAGTTGTAGGCTCTTTGGAATGTTTTCAGAAAATTCAAGATACACTCCGCTTTCAATGTACCTACTTCGGTAGCTACACGTGAATTGATATCCATAAGATATTCATACAACCCTAAAAATTTACTCTAATGAATTAAAAACCTAAATAACAAAGGGTCTAAGCTCATCAAAACATTGCGAGTAATTTTTGCTTCTGTGTATACAACCTCCTTTAGTTGATGAGCAGATAAATAAAGTGGTCGATGGAATTTATTTTACGCGGAACAATTTAGAGTAGCTCACATGATCAATCACACCAAAATAAAATTGAATGATATGAATAATTACTACTTTGTATGACGTTCATGTGCAGCAGATCATTAAACTTTATAGAATGAATAGAAGTGAGCCTGAAGCAAAGATTCTGTAAGCTTTCTTTTAAAGAATTAAAATTCGGTGTGAGATGATAAAACTATTGAATTCATGATAAGATTTTTTAAAAATACACGCCTAACTAAATACTCCACGATGTGGATAATACTCATTGCACCAATGAATCAATAAGGTTACAGTACACGTTGACCAGAATCAGAAATGTTAGACAATGCTGAAAAGAGATCAAGTAATCTAGCCTATATGTTCCCTACATATTATCCGATTTATTAAGGCGTAGTACTGAATGGTTGTAGTGTAAACTGTTTGTAGAGAAACTATGTAATTCATAAGTTACAGACAAAATCAACGTAGAACCTCGCACACAGGTTCATTCGCTCAATTGACCACACTTCACAGTGGCACATAAAGAACAGCTGAATAGAAAAAGAGTGAAACAAACGTAGACAAAGTTGTGTGAGAGAATAAACAATCTGAAGATGAAGGATAGTGCAAATATTCAAGCTTTGGAAGATGTCAAGGAGTAAATATATCTGTGCCATTGTCACCACTTCTCAGGTACGTCACCAAGAGTCTTCAACCACTAATTCCTTTCATCTTAGGAAGCCCAATCAGGCAGTCTACACCTCTCACACAACTCAGACTAATAGTAAGAGACTTCATCAACTGATGACACGTCTTCGTCTGGTCACCCTGAATCCTCTTCCAACATCCCCAAACATGGTACGTCAAGGTAGGCGGCAAATCGACAAGTGGAACATATACTCAAGCCACCTCAGTCAAATAAAGCTCACAAGCTCATCAATCGGCTTGTCTAAGACCCTTTGTCTGGCTTCAACTTTGATCATATGGCATTGATCCCATCAAACACAAGCCATCCTACGAAGACATCTGCAATGAAAACACTGCAACCACTTGATGTCATCAATTTTCAACGGCTATGTCTTACAGTCGTACAACAGAACAGATTACACCACAGTATACAAATAACAGAAACTAATATTTTATCAAGGATAAATGGTTTGTCCACATAATCACTAGCTCATCTTTATGGCAAGTTTAGATCTCAAGCAAAAAACGCCAACTCATACGAGTCACAGTCTCTCTAAGACTATGTACAGATAACCTAGATCAAACGAAACTTTCTTGAAACAAATCTAAGATCACAGAACTGTGAATCTCTACATACGCCTCAATACTAATCAGCGCTAACAAGCGCAAAGTTTAAAACATCTACCTTCAATTAAAATGAACATATCTGTATCATAAAATACATAAACTGAAAAAAGGAAATAAAATGAAAATTATTTGTAACAAATAAAAGGAACACATTGGTGACAAGAAAAACAGTGAAGAGAAGAAAAAAACGCACAGAAAGGAAAATACTACACAGCCAAAATATATGAAATAACCTGAACCAATTCGTTCTTATCAACCAAAAAAAATGGTAATAATAACGTGATGTAACCAAACTAACAAATGACCAATTGAAAAACAAGTACTTCAAAACAGAGATATGTGACGCGATGAAGATAGAAAAAAAAACGCATAACTAACTTCACAGCCTTTGGGAAAAGTGTTTATGATAGATAACAGGAGAAGGAAATTGTAGAAGAAATGCCAGAGTAATGTGTGGAATTGTAAAAGTTATTTCTCTTCAAAATTTATGCAAGGTTTTACTATCAGGAGAGCGATTATCTCCCGATGAGATCATATCGTAACCATTCCAACCAGCTATAAACACACGACCTGGCCATTTGTCAGTTGACAAAGTCTGTACATTATGACCAAATTCTTTAAGGTATTTTATTAGCTTAGGATTGTTATTATCAGGTGTTTCAACAGTGATTGTACCAGGATCGGTGATATTATAGTCTGAATGTAACCGTGATAATAATATAGATATATCTTGATTGATACAACTGTTTTCTGTCGCTGGACTAAAGATAGCACGACCAAGTATAGGTGTAGATGTTTGTTCTTTTGTAGATGTAAGGCTGACTTCTGTGGCTGGAGGTCCAAATGTTCGAAGTGAAGCAGGAGCTTTACACTTTGAGTTACGCAGAAATAAAGCTGCGTTGCTTATCACCTAATTAAATAAGTGGAAAAAACGATGTGACAGATTAGAATAAAGTGTTTTTTAAATGCAGCTGAATAACATGTTCTTTATTTGAATCTACACTCGAATGTTAGGAATAAGCTAGCATCTGACATAATAGCGATGGTTTGGTGAGAAGTTTTGATTTGCTAGAAGTTTCAGGAGATCTCGGTTACCTGACCTTCAGCCAATCAGTCTACATTGGCCATCAGAAAGAATTTGTTCAACTCAAGAGTTCGAGTTGTCAGCTAACACTATAATATTTTTTAAGTGTACTGCATTGGAAATATCACTTGGTTTATGATAACATTCATTTCCGGTTGTATCTCTGGATGCAATCCATAGAAGGAGAGGTTGGAATGACTAACACACTTTTTCTCTCTCATCACTTACCTCTTCTTCTAACTGAACGTTCTAGTCTGGGAGGAAATATAATTGTTAATAAGGATTCAGTTTGTGTTCTAACACCCAGTGAAACACTCATGCCAACACGGTAGGACTCTGACTTCACAGTATCCATCAGACAGCTTCAAGCGAGATATACCTATTGAAAATATATTGTAAGCATCCTACCTACCTCTGCGTACCATGTTAAGGGAAGTTGGATTAAATTGAAAGAAAGTTCAGGATGGCTAGACCAAGACGTGACACTAATGCACCAAGTTTCTGACTGTTGGTCTGAGTTGCGTAGGGAGATGTAGACTACTTGGCTGGGGTCCGAGAGACGAGAGGAACCAGTGGTTCAGGATTCTTGGTGACATGGCTGAAAATTGATCACAATGGCGCAGATATATTCACTCTTTAATATCTCCTAATGCTTGAATGTGTTGACTAACCTTAATTTTTTAAAAATCCCCTCTCCTCATATACACCCTTGTCTGCTTTGGTATCAGTCTTTGCCATGCACTTATCATTTGTACACTACTGTGAAGTGTGGCGACTTGAACCGTGCGTTGATTGTATCTGTCTGTGTCTGTCTATTGTATACACGTACATATCGTATGTATGTATAAAGCATAGATGAGCAGGAAAGCTTTCTAGAGTCCTAATCAAATCTGCTTGTATTCGTGGAAGGGGCTGCAGTTCGAAGTGACGACAACTAGTCACGCATAGTTTTACAGAGTGAATGCTGTACAAAATTAGTTGTTTTTACCATTTATTGATATACTAGTTATTCTCTGCTGCTTTACTGGATCGGAATGTTCAGCCTCTATTGGCATAGAAGCCTACATGCCAATAGAGGTCGAATAATTCGAACCAGTGAAACAACGGAGAATTACAAGTATATCAAGAAGTAGTAGTAACTAATACCCGTTGTACAAGAGGCGGCTATCGTGCCTCTGTGGCCTAGCAGATAACACCGCGTTTGGAGCGGTGGATACCAGGTTCGAGTCCTAGTGGGAACAATATCACTGACTGGGGGTTACAGGTACATCCTACTGAGGAGTTCGAAATAGGAAATAACGCGAGTTCTGGATTCCTCTGCTAGCTACAACCAAGTAAATTATCGCAATTAATATTCACGTAATATAGAGGTATTGGCAGACGAGCCCATACGCCAACAGAGGTCGAACAGTCCGATCCAGTCAAACAACGGAGAATTACAAGCATATCAATAAACAGTGATTGTTTCTATTGAGAATAAATATTTGATTGACTTACTTGGGCTGCATCGGTAAGGCCCCACAGTCCATCAATTGAAGCAACACCTATACGTATACCACATTTCCTATGTGTAGTAGATATATATATTGGCCCAAGGGGAACAAGAGGACGACGTCCACCGGAGAACTTATTTAATTTTGATTCGGAGAAAAGGCGTAATGCAGAATTTAAATGAACACCAGTGCCTGGTACAACTTTTCCATTTCCAAAAGGTGATCCCATAAACACATTACCTACAACTGTTAAACTTGTTGAATCTGTTGTTAAGATTCCAGTGCCGCCAATACTTGAACCTTCCTAACAAATTATTAAAAGTAGTAATAATATGAACAATTATATGCTAAATACTTCAATGACAATTAAGATCATACGTAAGTCAACCTAATTAAAACATCACTTATGCATTGGCTGTAATCTACGGTAAATGCATACGAAGTGACATGCTACTTCGACCTGGGCAACTGAGTAGCATCATAGATCCTTACAAATGAGTGTTCCCCATAGCTTATTAGATAAACACCAATAACGAATTGAGCTACATTCGGTTTCTATGTTATCCTACTGAGAAATTAAAAGATACGTAGATGCAAAAGAGTTAAAATGGTATGTTCCATATCGTATATCCCATTCCAAGCTAGACTGTTAGATTTCTACGACTGAATAACAAAGCTTTATGAATAGAAAACAAATAATGTCTTCACTCTTAAACGCAATCCAACGTTAAGGAAGTTAACCGATTCGAAATTTAATTGTACTGTATTGTATTTGACATTCAACAATTAAAAATGCTGGGTGAAAATTCTTCATTGATCAAAGTTCGCGATCCATTGAGTTCGTCGAAAATGTTTAGCTGCACAGTTTTCAAGAACAAGTCAATATTTCCTCATGTATGCAAACAATGCTGATGAGTCACTGACTGCCTCCCCCTAAGTATTGCCTGAAGTAGAGAGAAAATAAGGATGTTCAGTTCAAGATACTGGATGTATCCAAGATACCTCTGAATACCTGTTTAAAAATAAATGTAGACTATCTATCAAGAAGACAATCGAACATTTAGAACGGTAGGTGATATAAGCCATAACCAATCAAAAAGGCGTAAATATATTCGCAATACATCCGCATTTTCAACATTGAATTCTACATCCTTATTTGCCTCCGTTTTTTCCGTTTCCTCTCCTAAAATCATACGACTAACTAACAAAATTAATGTAGAGCCATGAACAGAGGTGCATTGGCTCAAACAGAAACAATTCACAGTAGTACACAAAGAACAAGTGGATAGAAAAAGAGTAACACTAAAGTACATAAAGCAGTATGATAATAAACAATCTGAAGATGACGGTTAGTAAAAATATCCCAGCTTTAGATGTCAGTGAGTGAATACATCTGAGTCATTGTGATCGATTTTCAGCCATATCACCAAGAGTCCTCAACCTCTAATTCTTTTCCTCTCGGGTACCTCAACAAGCAAACATACCCCACCCCACCCCACCCCACCCCACACACACACACAACTCAGACCAACAGTCAGATATGTCATGAACTCCTACCAGGTCTTGAATCCGCCAACCTGAACACTCTACAAACCTAATCCAACTTCTCCGAAAATGACACCTCGAGGTAGGTAGGTGGTGCATCGACATGCACACTACATGTCAAAATCATCTCACCTGACTAAGCTTCACAACCTCATCAACCCACTCGCTTCCCTTGACTACTACCATTCATCTGACCTCAACATTCCTCATACAATGATTCCACCACCAATCGTGAGCAACGCTGCCAAGACACCTATGCTAAAAACACATGTAACCACTTCATGTTTTCCACTTTCAACGGCCATGTCTCACAGTCGTAGGACAGAAGACGACAGAACGAACTGAAGTGCAGTATACTCCTCCATCGATAGATAGTCACATATCTCACCAGTCGGTTCCACAGATGGTGTGAGTTGTCAAATGCCAAACCGAACTTCTCTGTCCGATCTGAGATCTCGTCAGCATCCAGCCAGTTTCGGCTGATGCAACTGGCAAAGTAAGTGAAGTGGGTGACACATTCCACCACTTCATTCCCTATCCTTAAACTGGGTGCAATTGCAGCAGATCAGTCCTGCAGCCTGCAGCATCATCTCACATTTGACAGATGCCACAGAAATGCATGCCAAACATACTCAGATCTCTAATCAACTCGTTCACAAAAAGATGCATCGCATCGCATCAGCGTCTTCACCTAACACAAAAACATCATCTCCATGTCAACCAGATGATAATCTCCAGGGAGTAGGTCAATCCCTGTATAGTCAGACGTACCTCAAGTTATATCCATTACTACGTGTACGACGAAGTTACATAGGAAGGGTGACAGTGAACATCTCTGATGAACACCACTAATTGTCGTCAATTCATATGACAGCTTTCCATAAGCCCTGACAAGGCTGCGTGAGTTCGAGTAGAGAGCTGTGATTTGCATTATATTCTTTCTCGATACTCCCTCAGATTGTTTATTGTCATACTGCTTTATGTACTTTGGTGTTACTCTTTTTCTATCCACTTGTTCTTTGTGCACTACTATGAATTGTTTCCGTTTGAGCCAATGCACCTCTGTGTGAGGTTCCACGTTGACTTTTCCAGTGTGTTAGTGAGTCTCCTAGGTGAATGATTAGTCTGTCCTGCGTGGTACAACTGTTTTTCAACATATTATACATTGAATTCACTCCACAAAGCAACCAAATAACGGTTCATATCACAGTGCACCAAAATTAGCTATGGTATCTCTAAATGAAATTTGCCGGTCAAACAAGGAGATGCTACCTATAAATAACGAGTAATTACAAGTGGACATTTAGGGCTCGATGACAATGAGAGGAGGAGCAAATATGGTGGAAAGATTAGTAATGCTGAACAATCATAGAACAATTTTCTCTAGTTCTATCTATTAAACTAAATGACTAAATGAAAAGCTTCAAATGATTAGGATTATACGCTTGTTGGAATGACTTTGAAGGCCAACCTAACAACTGCTGAGATAACTGTTTACGTTTCTTTATTTTATGAAAAAAACTATCTTCACAGTCAAAATATTGAGACGTGATAGATTATTTCAGCAGTTGTTAGGATGGTCTTTAAAATCGCTTGCTTGTTATTCCTTATCATCAAGGTATAATTTAAATCTTGAAAGAGATTGACTATGCCTGAGTGATTAGGACGAATTATCATATATGAGGATACTACAGAGGTCTCTTGTTCCAGTTTACGCAAAGGTGGATAGCATTGCATCCAAAATATTTTAAGATCTACAAATTATAATTGTACTAAATCGTAGGTACAGAAAGACTACAGTTATTAAAAGGATTCAAGCTTACAACTTTTAACAATAAATAAACTTACAGAGGTCGTCTGAAGAACATCAAGTCGTGAGTGTCCCGCTACAACACTGGTGTCTTTAATACTGGCTACATTGGCTTCACGTACAGATTTTGAGAATAAAGTATTCTGAGCAGCTGTAGCAGCAATACCTAGTGAAAAAAGTCAATCCAAACAAAATGGTTATCTTGTAATGATATCTCAGTAAAGCAAATTTAAAGCTGATATTATGTTGAATCTCTAATTCTGAACAGAAAAGTTAAAAAGTGAGAACTCCAATTTAAAGAAAAAGAATCTTTATGCTCACTTGTTTGTTTTTACAGACATACAGTTGATCAGTTGATGAGTGAAGTCTTACTTTCATAATTGTGTTAGGTTTAGTTTGGAGGGCTTCATATCGTCATCACTGACGGATTCTAAGTTAACATACGAAGAATTAAAGTCTCCTGTCATACTTGGATATGATATGCTTTATCGCTTTCCCACCAATCTAGCTAACAATAGAGTGCTCAGTGAGATATTGCAAACGTTTGCGATTCACCCAAGTGATTTATTCGCCTTTATTTGAATCTTATGCATAGTTTCAATAGAACCATTGTAGCGTTATAATTCAGTACTCAAATATTTACATCCTAAACGATAAATGATAGAAATAAGCTCATCTAAATTTTATGATAGATGAAAAATTTCCACTGTTGATATTACCAATATAAAACTAATATTTCTATACATTTTGTTTACAACAGTTATATTTTACAGAGTGATAAAAATCCATCAGTTGGGTTGTCGCCTTTTTCTTGATGAGCACTTGCCAGTTTCAATAAGATGAATCTTTAAGTGTCTACCCATAATTGGTAGTAAGTTAAAAAAAAAAAAGCCCAATGAGAAAAGACTATGGTTGTTTAGTGTGCAGTTGCCGCAGATTGGGAGTTTATTATAGCTAAATCATCTACTGAATTAATTTACCTAATTAGGATATTTGAACACGCCGTCAACATTCACCATCTATGGCTTAAACCACTTCGAATTTTAAGTCCACCACAAAGAGCGATCAATACCTAACCTAGACGGCTCTCAAAAGGCCTTTGTTTCAACAGTTCTATGGAAAGTGCTGTAGACAGAGATCTCTGACGCCTATTGAGTCAGTCGAAGATTTTTAAAATCTTAGATCTATCATCGAAACTCTGACACAATTTCTCACTTAAAAATTTAGTAGAGTTATTCAGACAAAAGTTGTACCGTTTCAGTAGGACCTTTTTTTAAAAAGCAGAACGACAGATTATAGCTGTCCAGAGGTGAAGATAAAGTAGTTAAATGAGTAAGTGTAATAATTTCTTAACCATGTAATGGTATTTATGACTATAACAGCTATATTTCAGTCAATTCGTGAGTCAACTAACACCAGTATGAGAAGCAGAATTACTGTGGACCAAGTTACCACAACTCACATCACCCAAATGAAAGAGAAAGCATAGAGATAACAGACGGAGAAAAGTAATCAAAATGGTAGAGAGTTGCAAAAGAAAAACGAGAACCAATAAAACAATGATGAGACTCAGTACGACTACCAGAATGAAGATAACGTGCGGAAACATTTACGTCATCGAAATCGACTCTGCATCATGTCACAAAGTCTCTGACTTCTGATTTCAGTTGTCAAGTGAACCTCAACCTGAAAGTCTACGCTACCCTACGTAGTTCACACAGACAGTCAAAGACTTCATTGACTACTACCATGAATCAACATGGCCATTTCTTAAACTTTCTCAAGCCTCAACGTCACTATTATTATTATTACTTCACCCTTGGGTTCTTAGTGGGAATTAGGCCTCCAGTAGCACACCTCCATTCCACTCTCTTCTCTGCAGTCTCTTCAACCTGACTCCACGACTACCCATCAGCCTTCATTTCTTACTCACACCATCTCCTTCCTACATGTCACCCTCGCCTCGGACACCCGACTCGTTGTTTCACATTTCAGTTCCTCTCGACGGCCTGGCCTGGCCTGGTCTGCTGCGTGATGTCACCAAACCGTCTTCTCAGTGTATTTACCATTCAATCCAATCCAATCCATTGGATCTCCACTTTCTTCTGCACACTTGTTGAGCGGTGGGTTGTTGGTTGATTTGTTGTCAGCCAGCCAGCCAGCCAGAGTGAGTGAGTGAGTTCCTTCTTGCTTATTCTTAATATTCTGGCCATCTGATCTTCGGTGTCAGTATCGAGTGAGGAGTGAGCGTTGGCGGCAGTTGTTGATGCATGTGTGCGATTTGGTGGAAATGCTCCTCGTAACGCCTCACCAAGTCTGTCAACCATCACATAGAAGCACTAACTTGCACTGACTTGACTGAGATTAGTGTTGAAAATCCGGATGTTGTTGACGCCTTATGCTGAGTGCAGTGGAGTAGAGTGGAGTAGATCTCCACACTGATTTCAGATTAATGAAAGAAGGCGTGTCTCTCTGTCTTCCCGATCCTGGCTTTGACATTCTCATCTGTGCCGCCGCCTGTAGTTGAGACGATGCTGCCTTGCCTAGGTAGGTGAAACAGACTACTTCCTTTAGATTTCTCCCATTGATGGTGATTCGTGCCACTTGTTGTTGGTTGAGTATGTTCATCACCTCTGTCATGTCTACGTTCACCTGAAGTCCCGTCTTCTCTACCTCACCTCTTCTGTCAACTTGTTGGTTTTTGCCTGTAGATCTTCGAGTTTATGCGACATTAGACAGTAGACATAAATCATCATCGTTGGCGAAATCCAAATCTTCTAGGGTCTTTCCATCGGTCCAGCCAACGTATGCCCCTCTTCTCACTCCTCACAGTTTCTTGCATCATCCAGTCCAGTCAACCACAATCAGCAAGATGATCGGTGATAGTAGGCGGCAACCTTGTACTACTTCTACTACTTCTACCTTCACTTCAAAGGCGTCACTGGGCTTTCCATTGTGAATCACTCAGCATGTGGAGTCGTCATATAGCCGTTGAATGAGGTTGATAAAGACTAGTGGCACTAGAACCGTAGTGTTGAGGCAGCTGCTTGCCAAATTAATCCTCGGTCGACGCCTCAATCGAAGGCCTTTTTCAAAGTCGATGAAGTTGAGGTAGAGTTGAGTTGATTGCTATTCTATGCTGTGTTCCGTGATGATGCGCAGCGTATTGTTGCAATTCGATCCGCACATGATTTGATTTTCCTGAAGCCAGCCAGCCAGCCAACCAGCCAGCCTGTTCCGGTCGTAATTTTGAATGCAGAGGAATTTTTAAGTCTGTCCAGGGTGATGCGGCCTAATACTTTGTTTGGAGTGGACAGGAGCATAATTTCGCGCCAGTTCTTGCAAAGACAAGCCTAAACATACTTTAGTTAATACCACGCGAAGGGATATAAGGTGTAATAGGCATGTGCAACACATATCTCAGCTATATGAGTCAATGTAGGTGTACAACCTCACTAACTGAGTTACCTCTTTTACCCAGGACTCTAAAAATGACTTCTACTTTGCTGACGTGTTTTTTCCATATAGGCTGAACACCCGAAGTCTTCTCATGCCCTCCACTTTTAACGGACATATTACACAGCCATATAGTACAGCAAAGAGCATGAGGCTGCACAGTACACTTGACTCTTAATAGGCGATCGCATATCACGCCAGCGACACAAATGACGAGATTTTAGTAGTCGTGCAGAGGTTTCGTTTGTCATTGACGCACTAGCGATTGTCATAATTCTCAGACAAATGACGTAGTCAGCGCATTGTGCATTTCCAGGGAAAAGAAAAGAGAAATATACAAATCTGAGTTTCTAGGAGATTTCTGGCTAATCTTTAATCTGATGAATTAGAATTTCGCTAGTTTTTTTTAGCTTCATTTTCGTTGTTTGAAGATACTTCTAAAGAGAATGCTGGCGAATATTGACAGGACTGTAACCAATTTCGATGCAGACTACATTTTGAATTACCGAAGAAGTATGGAATCGTTAAGAATAAACATGGAAGACAAATGTGATTCTGAAGTTTCTTAAGTCACCTGGATACATAATAATGATAGAATGAGTTTCAGTTTAGATACAATGTGAATCGATTAAAATTAAAGGCGGGTTGTTGTAGAATAATACCATATTTTAACTGATTCAAGCAAACACTAATGAAAAAATTGGTGTGCCTTTGAGGTTTTGAAGTGAATCGAAAGAAAAATCGAAACCAATTCAGCAAACGTGCCCACATTCATGCAGTGGGCAATCAGTCACACTATCTGCGTCATTGTGACAGATCTTCTACCATGTCACCAACAATCCTCAACCACTGATTCCTGTCGTCTAGAAAAACCCAACCAAGCAGTCGATATCTACCCACATGGCTCAGGCCAACAGTCAGATATGTCATGAACTCCTACCAGGTCTTGAATCCACCAACCTGAACACTCTCCAAACCTAATCCAACTTCTCCGAAAATGACACCTCGAGGTAGGTAGGTGGTGCATCGACATGCACACTACATGTCAAAATCATCTCACCTGACTAAGCTTCACAACCTCATCAACCCACTCGCTTCCCTTGACTACTACCATTCATCTGACCTCAACATTCCTCATACAATGATTCCACCACCAATCGTGAGCAACGCTGCCAAGACACCTATGCTAAAAACACATGTAACCACTTCATGTTTTCCACTTTCAACGGCCATGTCTCACAGTCGTAGGACAGAAGACGACAGAACGAACTGAAGTGCAGTATACTCGTCCTTTGACAGGGCCACAAAAATAAACTCAACAAATCAAGAATGCAAATAGACTTACGTATGTTAGGATCGTCAATATCTCCAAGTGTAGTAATCGATGCTTCAGCTAAACGAGCTAATTCAAGTAGTCGATGTAAGTAGACAGCAGTCACTATAGGATCATCATTAAGCAATGCTTCATGATCAAGTGGGCTGAGAGATTCTTTAAGATCCAGATTACCCAACAGAAGTAAAATGTATGAACCACCAACAAATGGAGCGGGAAATGATTCCAAAGTGAAACCAGCAAAACCCATCTAAATTTTACCAACAGGTAGAATAATACACTGATGAGTAGATACTGATAATAGAACACTTTGTCAATGGTAATGTAATAGTGAAAGATAAGAGCTGAAGTGAAACCCATAATACTGTCATTCCCATGACGACCTAGTCATTCATTTCAGCTGGATCTTATGCGGCGAAGATTGTACATCATTTGTCATGTATTGATTGTTTTATTCAGATTTTTCTGAATTGACAGTATTCATAGACAGGCCATATCCATGTGTATCTAATAGTTAACCTGCTCCTGTGGAGCTAGGTAAATCGGCCGTAGTCACTGATTGCTGCCAACACATATACGAGAACATATTCCTGCCTGGTTTTATAAGGGTGAAAGGAAATGCATCAGAAGTTCTATCCTTGAGCATTTAATCGACTCCAACCCTTCAACCGACCCAAACAATGATTTTAAGGTTATCTAACGAATTCGCTCAAACATCTCACGTCCCCTCCATCTTCAACTTCTAAAAACATCAGAGGCCTTTGCTATCCATGAAATGAAGCTTGACGTTTGTGTGCAAAAGAAGTATGCACAGTCTTTCTATCCACCTTTGCCTTAACTTATTTTGGTCTTCGTGTGCTTTGTCACTTTGTTTTGTTTTTTTCAATTTCCCCTTTTCTCAGACTAATCTTTGTACTCTTATATCGTCATTATCATTTTATTCTAATATTTAACTGTTTCCAATGTTATTTCATTTGATCTTCCTAATAATCACAACTTTTATCAAAACATTTTCAATTTATTCCAATTAACTTATCTCATTCACATTACCTAATCCCTTGATTGTTTATTAACTTTACCACGTTTTCACCCTCTTTTTGGTCTATATGCACCTTATAAACGACTTAAAGTCTTACGTAACCCCTTTTTACTATTAATTGACATACTTGTTATTCTCCGTTGTTTTGTTGGATCAAGTTGTTCGAGCTCTGTTGGCAAATACCTCGATATTGCCCGAATATTAATTATGATAATTTGATTGGTTTTGGCTAACAGAAGAATCCAGGACGTGTGAGGCAAATACACCCAGCTGACAAGTCCCAAATGAGAAGAAACGCGCGTCCTGGATTATTTTGCTATCCACAACCAACCAAGTTATCGAAACCCTTACATCATCAACTAGCAACATTATAACCATCACAACCACCATTATTATAACTTCAACCTCCTACTATGTAAGTTACATCTTCCTCACGGATTACAGTCTTTAAATAACATACACGAATGTACAGCTTGAGAATTAATTCATTGAAAAGAGACCTCTTCGCTGAATATCTTGTTTTTGATGCTACAATGGGAATTATAACCTCGCCTAGTTAACTAGTTCACTAGTTACTAGCCGGTCCTAAACCCGGATAAAGAGGGAAGGTTACAAATAGCACTAGAAAACCTAACCCAGATAACAAATCCAATCACTAAAGAAACTTCAAACACAAACAAAATATAGAAAACAATAATTAACTCATTCCTCACTGGAATCAAAGAGACGAAATGATGCCAGTTGCTGAAAGTCTTCGGGAAGCCAATTGGCCGGGCCGATGTATCTTCTCTTCCCTAGATGAAAGCAAAAGTAAATATGGGGACATGGAATGTCCGCAACATAGTTGAACCTAGCTGGTAAGGCTATCCAGATTGCAAATGAGATGAGGAGGTATGACATAGAAGTGCTAGAAATCTGTGAGGAATGTGCACATGGAATGGAAGTGGACTCTCCAAACTGTCAACTGGAGAGGAGTCAATAATCTACTCCAATATTGTCACCCAGACGACAACCACGAGCACACTGAGTTATGGAGTGGCTATCGTGATGTCCTGCTTCCAACAGCATCGAAGGCTCTCTCTCATGCAGTTGGAACCAATCTCCTCCTGCAGGGTCATAACGGAAAGATTCAACTCAAAAGGAAGGAAAGTCACAATCGTACAGTGCTACGCTACGCTATGCACCTACAAATAATGCAGGTGAAGAGAGGAAGGAGGAATTCTACAGACAACTGAAATCAGCACCAGACAAGACCTCAGTTGTCGACATCAGAATTCTAATGGGTGGGGTGACATGAATGCCAAACAGTGGGGAGTGGACAACACAGGAAGGGAACTAACCATGGGTCGAGAAGCACTCTGTGAAATGAATGAGAATGGAGAATTGTTTACAGACTTCTGTGCATTCAACGATTTGGTGATTGGGGACACTGTATTCAAGTACAAGGATATCCACAAAGCGATATGGATTACAGCATTCACCAGACGGACACACTACACTAAAAATCAGATTGACTTCATCTCAATCTCAAGAAAGTGGAGACACAGCTTACTGGACACAAGAAAGGATCAAGAAGAGAATTTCGCCAACGATGATGATTTATGTCTACTGTCTAATGTCGCATAAACTCGAAGATCTACAGGCAAAAACCAACAAGTTGACAGAAGAGGTGAGGTAGCGAAGACGGGACTTCAGGTGAACGTAGACATGACAGAGGTGATGAAGATACTCAACCAACAACAAGTGGCACGAATCACCATCAATAGGAGAAATCTAAAGGAAGTAGTCTGTTTCACCTACCTAGGCAAGGCAGCATAGTCTCAACTACAGGCGGCGACACAGATGAGGATGTCAAAGCCAGGATCGGAAAGACAGAGAGACACACCTTCTTTCATTAATCTGAAATCAGTGTGGAGATCTACTCCACTCTACTCCACTGCACTCAGCATAAGGCGTCAACAACATCCGCATTTTCAACACTAATCTCAGTCAAGTCAGTGCAAGTTAGTGCTTCTATGTGATGGTTGACAGACTTGGCGACGCATTACGAGGAGCATTTCCACCAAATCGCACACATACATCAACAACTGCCGCCAACGCTCACTCCTCACTCGATACTGACACCGAAGATCAGATGGCCAGAATATTAAGAATAAGCAAGAAGAAACTCACTCACTCACTCTGGCTGGCTGGCTGGCTGGCAACGAATCAGCCAACAACCCACCGCCCAACAAGTGTGCAGAAGAAAGTGGAGATCGATTGGATTGGATTGGATTGAATGGGAAATACACTGAGAAGACGGTTTGGTGACATCACGCAGCAGACCAGGCCAAGCCAGGCCAGGCCGTCGAGAGGAACTGAAATGTGAAACAACGAGTCGGGCATCCGAGGCGAGGGTGACATGGAGGAGATGGTGTGAGTAAGAAATGAAGGCTGATGGGCAGTCGTGGAGTCAGGTTGAAAAGACTGCAGAGAAGAGAGTGGAATGGAGGTGTGCTACTGGAGGCCTATTTTCCACTAGTAACCCATGATACAAATAACAATAATGGGAATTATGAATAAAATTTTAAAATATGAAATACACAGAAGGCATACTTTCAATGGAGTTGGACGGTGAACTTCATAGCCTTTCAAATCATTGAATGACCATTGAAAACCTTGTTGATTCATATAGTTAACAAATTTGCTGTTAAAAGTTTCTTCTCCTTGAATACCATAAAAGTATTCTTGACCTTGGTCAGCTAGTTGTTTTAGCGTGTTTTGCAGTTCAACTGATGGTATGTAAAGATTCTTTCTATTGGTTAGTTGTTGTATGAATGGATTGGATTCGGGTGAGTTCGACAAAATGAAATCATTTGCAGCTCGCATTAAAGATTTTCCAGGCTAACAAAATAACCACAGAAATTGTTTAGATAGTTAGTAGAATATACACAAACAAAAAGGATGATTGAAATAGCGCTACGTAATTCTATCTTTAAATTCCTCTTCACTGGTTTAGGTTACATAAATAACTTTAGCTGGCCTACTACTAATTGAACAGCAAGATGGAAACAAAACTTCATGACAACTTTGAAGAGATGGATATTCCTTAAATGATGTTAGTCTCAACGGTCAAATACTAGTCATTTTATGAGGAAAGGTAGGATTTCCAGTGAATGATTGAAATCATGTAGAGCCTGGTTGGAGCGTCACACAAAAGCGTAACAGTTAACACTATCATGCACTTTATTGCAACATACAGAGACGATATGTCAAGAAGACACAAACACCAAAATAGAACCTGAACTTTTCTTATGGTGAAGTGTTGAAACAAGGCGATTGAAAGGAAAAGATATGTGAACGCCACAGATTTTGATCACAAGTTTCTTTGAAGCATTATTCGCGTGTGATGGAGTCACTCACTATGTGAGCAATGTCGAAGCTAGGCACAGAGTACTAAGCAAGGAAGGTAAGTTGGTGGATAAAGAATCGCCTATCACGGTGAGAAATGTTAGGCAAAAAGGAATAGTCTGGAAGAAAGCTAACGATGGCAAGATCAAGACACGGCACTATTCCATGAAGCCTCTTGTCGTTGGTTTGAGTTGTCTAGAGAGATGCAGACTGTCTTCGACAGTTTTCGAACTACAAGCTGCAACTCTTAATGATATGCATGAAAATGGGTCACAGTGGTGCAAAAGTACTCAATTCGGAATTTTGATGATCTTCATGAACCTTCATCTGTTTATCCTTTCTTCTGCCACATGCTTTTGTATACTGGAATGCTATTCTTCTTCTTCTACATACCTTTTCTTCGTATATTGCTGTGAAGTGTGGTGAGTGGAACTGATGCGCCTTCATGCCAGATCCTATATTGACTAATTTATTTATTTGACCTGGTATATATGTATCAACCAGATTTGTTACAGCTCAATAAGGTGACAGCCAACAGGACAGAAATAGAATGAGATAATAATGACAGTATTAGTCTGACTACTATACTTTTCTTTTCCAGTTTCACTCTTTTTCAGTTAACAGCAAGCCGGATCAGAACACGCAATAAATATCGTAGACACTATAACTCCAGTTGTTGCTTTTTTGCTCATTGTTTGCTTTACCACACACAGTAAACTCTAATTATGAGTATTGTATGCTACATATTTTACAAGTTTCAACTACTTCAGTCAATGAAAGTTCATACCAACAACCTCTATACAACCTCCAGCCATGGTATGGTATGACCCTAAAGACAAGAAGCCTTTCAGTAAATATAATTCGTATGAGCCTTTATGAAACAAACCTGACCACCATGATAGAATACCAACTGTGAGCAAGACAATAAGATGTGATGTATCATAGTCTATGTTTCTCAAAGCAGTATGCTTGGAATCTATATATTGTTTGCTTAAACAGAGTCAAATAAAATCACCTTCATAATTGTTTAATGTTCTTCGAGCTAGTGCTAATGAAGTCGCCAGTCTGGTGACGAAAAATCAAAGAACAAACCTCGAAACTCGAAGAAAGCCAAAACAATTACTATCCTCATCCTAAGCTACAAATTTTCTTCAGTACCTCAAACCCATCTTTGTGTAATTCACATCCATCAAAGTGAATAATTCAGTAGCTACATTTCCAATCCTAGATATTGTGCAATATTTGTACTAGGTGATGATTGAAGGTGAGATGAAAATCTGGACCTCGGCCCGATTCGAACCAGCGACCATCGGGTTACCGGCCTGGTGCTCTACCAACTGAGCTACAAGGTCCAACTGCTCACCAGACTTTTATTTCACTTCAATTCACACGGTATTCGGGCAAAACCCTTGGCGATTGAAGTGAAACAAAATTCTGGTCAGCAGTCGAACCTCGTAGCTCAGTTGGTAGAGCACCGGGCCGGTAACCCGGTGGTCGCTGGTTCGAATCAGGCCGAGGTCCAGATTTTCATCTCACCTTCAATCATCACCCAGCACAAATACTAGTCTTCCAAACTACGGCTATCTTAGATAGCCAAATCATAATTGTCCAATACGTTTAAATCAAGACTTTGTAAGTGATGACAGCTTATATACAAGCGACAAATCATACTTTTAGAACTTTCACTAACAAACCTGCTGTAAAAGTGTATTCAGTACTGTGTTATGCTTTATTTTAATAGAATCAGCAAAGTATTTTCATACTAAGTGCAAAAGATACTAGTCTAGGACTTACCACGAAACCGTTTACAGCGAAATCAATTGCTCCATTGAAAAGATCAGACCATTTTAATGAACCAAATTGTTGATGCATAACTGCAAGACCACGTACAAGTCCTGGAATGCCTACTAAACTAGCATGGTTAGTTCGATTGGGCATATCTCTGACTGTAACATTATTACGAACGGAACAGGAGAAGTCAAATAAATGACTTAATTGTTTGTTACGATCACGAACTAGTATAGCACCACAACCTGCCAAACCTGTTGGTTAGAATATCACAACAGTACAGGAGAATACTGAAATATACTCATATGAAAAACTGGTATTTAGCTATTGATCACAGCATAATTAATTTTATAACAGTATGAGATGAATAGGTATGTCCAATGCAAGGGACCTGGCTCTTAATGGATATCGGTCTAAGTTACCACAATTAATATAAGAGCACCGACGAACAAAAACATAGGTGAATGAAAACAATACATCAGTAGTCGTAAAAAAACCGGAAGATAAAGAAAGGTGGGAAAAGGGATGAAGATAGATAACAAGATGTTTACATTTTGAATGTAGGTGAGAAATGGAGAAATCTACATCAATACAATTGAAGTTGCATAGTAACCTTCAGGTTTCTATCCATTGACTTCAATTGTTTTGTATACACTATCCAAATAAAAACTTACCACAATATATTTGATCTGGCTAATAAAAAAATATGATTTAAACGGTTATGTAGTAACATAAAAGTAGATAAAGTAGAGTGAGAGAATATAAAGTCTGAAGATAAAGCTTAGTGGTAATATCCGAGCTTTAGAAGACGTCAGTGAGTGAATACATCTGAGTCATTGTGATCGATTTTCAGCCATATCACCAAGAGTCCTCAACCTCTAATTCTTTTCCTCTCGGGTACCTCAACAAGCAAACATAACCCACCCCCAACACACATACACACCACTCAGACCAACAGTCTGATATATCATGAACTCCTACCAGGTCTTGAATCCGCCAACCTGAACACTCTACAAACCTAATCCAACTTCTTCGAAAATGACACCTCGAGGTAGGTGGGTGGTGCATCGACATGCACACTACATGTCAAAATCATCTCACCTGACTAAGCTTCACAACCTCATCAACCCACTCGCTTTCCTTGACTACTACCATTCATCTGACCTCAACATTCCTCATACAATGATTCCACCACCAATCGTGAGCAACGCTGCCAAGACACCTGTGCTAAAAAAACACATGTAACCACTTCATGTTTTCCACTTTCAACGGCCATGTCTCACAGTCGTAGGACAGAAGACGACAGAACGAACTGTAGTGCAGTATACTCCTCCATCGATAGATAGTCACATATCTCACCAGTCGGTTCCACAGATGGTGTGAGTTGTCAAATGCCAAACGGAACTTCTCTGTCCGAGCTGAGATCTCGTCAGCATCCAGCCAGTTTCGGCTAATGCAACTGGCAAAGTAAGTGAAGTGGGTGACACATTCCACCACTTCATTCCCTATCCTTAAACTGGGTGCAATTGCAGCAGATCAGTCCTGCAGCCTGCAGCATCATCTCACATTTGACAGATGCCACAGAAATGCATGCCAAACATACTCAGATTTCTAATCAACCCATTCACAAGAACATGCATCGCATCGCATCGCATCAGCGTCTTCACCTAACACAAAAACATCATCTCCATGTCAACCAGATGATAATCTCCAGGGAGTAGGTCAATCCCTGTATAGTCAGACGTACCTGAGGTTATATCCATTACTACGTGTACGACGAAGTTACATAGGAAGGGTGACAGTGTACAACTCTGACGAACACCACTAATTGTCGTCAATTCATATGACAGCTTTCCATAAGCCCTGACAAGGCTGCGTGAGTTCGAGTAGAGAGCTGTGATTTGCATTATATTCTTTCTCGATACTCCGTTCATAGTCAGACTCTGCCACAAAGCCTCACTGTCGACTGAGTGAAATGGTGCCTTCAGGTCAGGAAGTGTGGCAAGTGTCAACCATTGACCAGTGGGTATGCCTGTGTTCTAGAACCTGTCGGAGAGTGAAAATCTGATGGACACGCCCTCATAAAGGTCTAAAACCTGTCTGGCTTTTTCGAGTTTGCTGTTCTCGAGCTCCAGTTAGGCGTTCGATGAATGAGGATCGGGGAATCTTAGACACACAGTCAAACTAATTCCTCAATGGTTTTCACAAAAGGACTTCTCTCCCTCCTTATAAAATGAGATGATCAGAAAAGCAGACCAGTCTGACGGAACTACCGCTGATTCCCATATACTAATTGGTCCATCCGCTTTTTTAGGCAGCCATTTCTTACGTCCATCCTTGAAAACTTCAGGTGGCAAACAGTCGTGTCTTGCTACTTTGCTTCGTTTTAGGTTCGGTACAGCTTTCTAAACTTAAAGGACAGTTGGAGAACTAACGTCTAAGTGTCATTCAGGTTATGTCTGGAGGCTAGGCAACTAAAGTATTACTAGGGGCCCTTTGAACTGTGCTTCAAAGTGTTCTGCCCAGCGTTCTAGCTGTATGTTCTGAGTGGTTATCAGTGTTCCATCCTTTTCGGTTTAAGTTCTACTAACCACCGTCTTCTTCTTGCCGGTACTCTAAATAAGCTTATAGAGTTGAAGAGTGTTACCCAACGCTGATGCCTTCTCCATGTCTCTTGCTTTCTCCACCCACTACTGCTCGTGATCATTGCGTAGACTCTTGGTCAACTTAAGTTTGAGTTGCTTTCGCTCTTCATCGTGGTTAGAGCCAGCTGGACTCAGTCTTCTCGCATCAATCAGTTCAGATAACGTCACGGAAATTCAATGACGTTTGATGACCTTATTTGTAGGTTACCAATTATCATTACTCCTGTTTCTACTGCAGACTTAATAACGTCAGGTTTCCTCGGGATGAGCATTGCTATCACGTTTAGACAAATGCTTAGCTATCTCTTTTTTAAATTCGGAGTTGACGGTCTCATCTTCCAAACGATCACAGAGAGGCTTCATTATCGTGTTTCCTGCGACCAGTAAGGTCTGGAAATACACTAGCCCGCAGTAGTGCATGATCGGAGTTCAAACGGGTACTCCAGAAAGAGCGGTATTCCTTCACGTATCCTCTCCAATGATGGTTTATAGCAATATGATCTATCTGTGTCCATCGTTGGTTTGAAATCGTCAGCTGCCATGTGAGACAGTGTCTCCTCTTATGCCAAAAGTTAGTCCTGGGCACAAAACAAGTGACTGTAGGAGCAAAACTGCAACAGACGATCACAGTTATCGGTTAATTGGCATGAGATTCCGTAAATACTCTCCGAAAGACCTTTCTGAATGGCTAAGCTTCCCTATTTGAGTGTTAAATTCACCTGCCATTATGACTAGATCTGAACGTTTTGCTTTCTGTAGCAAAATTGATAGCTTCTCATTTAATTCACCCTTTGTGTCATCCGAACTATAGCTGGTGGGTGCGTAGGCGGAGATTACGAGTCAGTATTGTCTAATCTCGCGATCCTTACTAAACCTAACAGATCCATCTAGTCGAACAGCTAATAGATGGCTGTTCACTGGTATCTAGTTGAGAAGCGCACTTGCCGCTCTACAGCTGAATGCTATGTCTACACCAGCGAGTTCACGACATCCAGCCACTGGGGGCTTCTGGTACTCCCAAGGTGAATTTCAACGATTCACTACAATGGCGCTAATTTAATAACCACATTCAGGCACTGTATACGTGCCTCAGAGACACAATACACATCTATGGCTAGAGATTCCATAGTTCTGGTGGGCGGTGCTTGTTGTCCTATTTGGCATAGAATTCAGACCTTGAAAGCTCCTACATAAACTACACAGTAGGGCCTTAGGATACCAGGAATGAGGTGTCCATGGCTTTGGTCGTTCGCAACGGTCACAGAATAAGGTTGGGTAAGGCGTAAAAGGCTTAATATTAGTGTCAGAAGGCGTAGGCAAAGGAGGAGACACAGTTGGGGAAGATAAGTTATGTGTGATTGGCTTTAGTGTACTACTGGAAGCGTGCGGGTGGTTGACACTTCCTGGCTGCCTACACATAGTGGAAAGCTATTTATTTTTAAGGTACCTGAAAGAGAAAAAGATTTGCGTGACCGCAGAGCCCATGGGACATCTGCTTGAGGCCTGTCATGCACAGCCTTTTTGGGATGTTGTTTTGTGGCTTGGTTTAGAGGGCAGTACCAGCATGGAACTGCTGATCATCCAAGGGAAACACCTCATTAGTGTTACATCCCATCCAGCTATCAGCGGTACGACTTCGCCCTCAAACCCCAGCATAGTGTAGTAATTTTCACTACAACGGTAACTGCTTTACGTGTATATATACACCATTTGTAGTTGCATGAAAGTTAGATGAATATATTAGTTGGTTGGAGGCACTTAACAGGAAGCCATGAGCCTAGGCTTCGCGCTTGTTAACACTCGTCAGGAAGGTGTACCTCCAACCGCCAGGGAATTTATGTCCCCTGTGAGATTTGAATCCGGTCAGCACTTAGGACAAGACATGAAATTGGTTGCTCTTCAGTGATCAATCAGCGTATGAGATAAGTATATCCTAGCATGACAATTACTACTCATTGATAAACAAAACTTACTCGCAACATCCGGACGAGTTACGGTCAAACATAGTATAGTAGATACCATTGCATCAACAGCATTCCCTTTGCTTCTTCTCATGATGTTCAGACCAATTTCTCCACAGAAATCATCATCAACTACGACAGCCCCATGAGGTGTAACCTTAATTAAAAATAAGACAACTGGAGGATCTATACTTGAGGATTTCCGAAGATAATATTTAGAATTAGTGCGATAGTTATAGCGGTTGAAAAGCTTATCACAGTCACGATAACAATATTTAAACCTTCCAAACTCCACTTTTGATGAGACTTATTTGTTGAATCCTTTAATATACTGTCAGTATCTTCATTGACGATGTATTCATTATCTTCACCAGAAGCCATATGGGTCTTGATGACATCCGACTGAGTTAGCTCAATATCTTGAGCCTTCGCTGAATATCTGCTCTCCATCCCTAAAATGAGTAAGAAAGAGGCCAATGTTACAATATAACCACCGTAAAAGTACTAAACGCCATACATATCAGTTATGAGTGAAGATTAATGCAAAAAAAAGGTAGTTGTCGAGGGACCAATAAAGGAACAATAAGCTGAAAAATAATCAGAGAAAGACATTATTCAAAGCGTCAGGTTTTCAAAACGATTAGAGGAGTCACCCTTCCTCCAAAGTTCTACTGACCTCTGAAATCAACAAATAGAAAATACACGAAGGAGCATCATTGCCACACAGTAAAATCAGGGGAAGAAAAGCTGAACAAAAACAGAATGATGTCAAAAGCAAGAAGGACAGTATGATGATGCTCCAGGACTGGTATGCAACTACTCCTAGTTTAATGATAAGGAGTGAAGTGCTGGAATGCATCAACCGCTTCACTTACTTGAAGAGTTGCATCAGGCTAGTTGCTACAGGAATCCGACTTCGGACACACAAGGTTAGTTTGGCATTTCCCAACTTGGGTTATCGCTTCTACCGACTGGCGAAATATTCGAATATATATCAAAGGACAAGTACACTGCGCTGTAGTCCATTCCGTCCTGTTATATAGCCATTAAACACGATCATTAAGCGTAGATGTGAAAAGAGTGCATGTTTACGAAAACAAGTTTTCGTGACATTGCTCATGTATGGTGGAATCACCACGTCAGCACCGTCAAAGTTAGGCAAAAAGTACTAGGCAAGAAAGGAAAGTCGATCGACGAGGTTGTGAACCCTAATCGACTGAGGTGGCTTGGGAATGTGTTGTTCATGACGAGACATCACCTACCTCGACGTGCAACTCCAGAAGTTAAATCAGTTAGTAGGAAGGCTCAGGGTGGATGGATAAGGAAACTCCAACAGTCCATGAAACCTCACCTGGTTAACTAGTTCACTAGTTACTAGCTGGTCATAAGCCAGCATAAACAGGGAAGGTTGGGTATAGGGATAGCAACCCTACCCCGGAAAACTAATCCAACCGCTAAAGAAACCTCAAAGCACGAACAAAATATAAATTAAAAAAAACAATATTATTCCCCGCTGGAATCGGAGAGGCGAAATGACGCCAGTTGGTGAAAGCCTTCGGGAAGCCAATTGGCCGATGTGTATTCTCTCCCTCGATGAAAGCGAAAGTAAACGTGAGGATATGGAATGTCCGCACGATGTTTGAACCTAACAAGGCCGCCCAGATTGCACAGGAGATGACAAGGTATCGCATTGAAGTGTTAGGAATTTGCGAAAGCAGATGGAATGGGAGTGAACTCTCCAAACTGTCAACTGGAGAGGAGTCAATAATCTACTCCAATATTGTCACCCAGACGACAACCATGAGCACACTGAGTTTCGGAGTGGTTATCCTGATGTCCCCAACAGCATCAAAGGTCCTGATGCAGTGGGAACCAATCTCCTCCTGCAGGATCATGATAGCAAGGTTCAACTCAAAAGGAAGAAAATTCACAATTGTACAATGCTACGCTACGCTATGCACCTACAGACAATGCAGATGAAGAGAAGAATGAGGAATTCTACAGACAAATGCAATCAATACTGGACAAAACCTCAGTTGGCGATATCAAAATTCTAATGGGTGGGGTGACATGAATGCCAAACTGGGAGCGGACAACACAGGAAGGGAATTAACAATGGGTCGAGAAGCACTCAGTGAAATGAATGAGAATGGAGAATTGTTTGCAGACTTCTGTGCATTCAACGATTTGGTGATTGAAGGCACTGTGTCCAAGCACAAGGATATCCACAAAGCGACACGGATTTCACCAGACGGACACAATACACTAAACATCAGATCGACTTCATCTCAACGTGAAGAAAGTGGAGACGCAGCCAGCCTGCTGGACACTAGATCAGATCAGGAAGGGGAGCAGATGTAGGTTCACATCACTCACTATTTGGTGCAAGGAACCTTAAAAATCAAGTTGAAAGCCTTCAAGGAAGTTTATGATAGACCACAGTTGAAGTTCAACACCCAGAACACAAACTGAAGGACGAAACTACAAAGAAAACCTTCACGTAAGCCATCAAGACAAAATGGGAGACATCGAGCAACATCCCTGAAGAAATCTGTGTGGATGAACACTGTAACTCTGTGAAAGCTATATGGAAGAAAACCTGCATAACCGTATTAGGAAGGAAGAAGAAAAAAGATAAGGAATGGATCTCGATGGATACATGGAAGCTGATAGAGCAGGGAGAGGAGGATGGTGAAGCAGAAGATAAACCAGTGCACGGATGCTCAACGACAAGAGGAACTGAGCACAATGTATAAAACACTGGACAAAGAAGTGAAGAAGAGTGTGCCCAAAGACAATAGACACTTCTACGAAACACTGGCAAGTGAAACAGAACAGGCTGCAGGTAGGAGAAACCTGAAAACATTGTATCAAATAACCAGGTTACTATCTGGTAGGGAAGAGATCAACACAGATGAAACCAATAAAAGATGATGTAGGAAATTTAATTATCAAAGAAGGGAAACAGGAAACGATGGGCTGACCACTTCAAAAAGCTCTTGAATCGACCACTACCTGCAGCCACAGAACTACAAGTGAACATAAGCCCTCCGACCAAAGTCGAAGTCATGAGCGCCATAAAGCTACTGAAATGCGGGAAAGCAGCAGGACCAGATGGAATACCGCCAGAAGCACTGATAATCGACGCAGACGCGGACATCCTCACACCACTATTGCAGAAGGTCTGGAAGGAAGTAAAGGTACCTGGCGATTGGAAGAAGGGTTACCTTGTCAAACTCCCAAAGAAGGGAGACCGAAGCTTTTGCAAGAACTGGCGCGGAATCACGCTCCTGTCTACCCGAAGCAAGCAAAATATTAAGCCGCATCATCCTGGAGAGACTAAAGGATGCGCTGGATTCAAAACTACCACTGAAACAGGCTGGCTGACTGGCTTCAGGAAGTAGAAATCATGTGCCGACCAAATTGCAACGCTTCGCATCATCATAGAACAGAGCATAGAATGGTAGTCAACTCTACACCTAAACTTCATCAACTATGAAAAGACTTTTGACAGCGTCGACCGAGAAATAATTTGGCATTTGCTTCAACATTACGGAATGCCACAAACATTTATCAGCCTCATTCAACAACTATATGAAGATGCCACATGCCAAGTGATTCACAATGGGAAGCTCAGTGATGCTTTTGAAGTGAAGACAGGAGTAAAACAAGGTTGCCTACTATCACCCATGATATTCTTGATTGTGGTCGACTGGATCATGCAACAAACCGTGAGGAGCGAGAAGAGGGGGATACACTGGCTGGACTGCAGAAAAGAACCTAGAAGACTTGGATTTCGCCAACGATGACTTGTGTCTGATGTCACACAAGCTGGGAGATCCACAGGCGAAAACTAACAAGTTGACAGGAGAGGCAAAGCAGCTAAGACGGGACTTCAAGTGAATATCGAGAAGACAGAAGTGATGAAGATACCGCACCAACAACACCAACAACAAACTCCAATCACCATCAATGGGAGAAACTTGAAGGAAGTAACCTCCTTCACCTATCTAGGAAGCACTGTTTCAACTACAGGCGGGACGGACGATGATGTCAAAGTCAGAATCGGAAAAGCAAGACAGGCGTTCATCAGCCTGAAACCAGTATGGAGATGTTCTGCACTCAGCATGTGGAAAAAGATCCGGATTCTCAACACCAACGTCAAGTCAGCGCTTCTGTATGGTTCAGAGACTTGGCGCGTTACGAAAGGGATTTCCAACAAACTACAGACATTCATCAACAACTGTTTACGCTGGCCCGTTACTAAAGATCAGATGGCCAGAATAGTAAGAATAAGCAACAAGACACTCTGGCTGCCTGCCAACGAACCAACCAAGAACCAATCGCTCAACAAATATGCACTGGAAGGAACTGGAGATGGATTGGGCATACACTGAGAAGACCGACTGGGGACATCACGCGCCAGGTCAAGCTGTCGAGTGGAACCCCTATGGGAAGCGATGAGTCGGGCATCCGAGGGTGACATGGAGGAGATCGTGAGAGGAGGAAATGAGAGCTCCTGGGCTGTCGTGGAACCAGGTTCAAAAAATTTCAGAGAACAGAGTACACTGGAGACGTGCTACGGAAGCTCTATGTTTCGTTAGGAACCCAAGGGACAAATAATAAAACAGTCTATGAAGTCTCTGACGACTGGTCTGAGCCTTGTAGAATGTAAACTATCTGGCTGGGGTCTCCAAGACCATAGGAACCAATGGTTGCAGACTCCTAGTGACGGTCAAAAATCGGTCAGAATGGTGCAGATGTATTCTTTCTTTAACAATATGTCTCCTTATATTCGTGCTGGCTAGAAATGAATGGTTGACTGAGCACAACTGTAGCGGGCGATTGTCACTATCTGTTCGTTCGGCTGATATTCCGAAAGTGCCACCTAACAAGGCTTTCTGTCTGTCAGTCTATTCCATCTGTGCACTGAAATCATCTGCAATAACAACCGTCTGAATGCTCGGCTTTCAGTAGAAGGATAGACAGTTTTTGGTAAAACTCAACCTAACCTTCCGAACTGGAGTCAGAGAGTGCATAAAGTGAGATTACAGAGAGAAAACGGTGTTCTACTATTCCTTTTAGTCCTCACTGTACCGTGCAGTCAAACAACGCATAGGCGACTTTCAACAGGGATTCAGTCGAGTAATGCACTTACTGCCCTAGCACTTAATGTTATGCCTACACCTGTAAGACAGAGAGAACAGGCCATCGAACCTCCAGAATATCAGAGTGAATTTCACGTAACCACCCTGCTAACCAGATGAGGTTAAGTGAAAAACCATATACGTCACGTTTGTGTGTCTCATGAAATGCTAGAAATTTGGCAAGTGAAGCTTCTTGGTCGACTTGATGGAGGGTGTGGACACTGATAGCCACAATGTGTAGTTTGGAGTGCGGTTTCAAGAGACCAGTGATGGTGTTTTGTGAACTCAGATCATTTTCAAGAACT